TACTCGCTACCCCATCACTCGGTATGTCACTCATTCTAATTTTTCGGAACCTCATCGTTTTTTTGTCAACAATATCTCCCAATTGGTTGAACCTACCACTTATGAGGAGGCCCGTCACAACCCCCACTGGGTTGAGGCTATGAACTCCGAAATTGCAGCTCTGGAAGAGAACCACACTTGGTCGTTAGTTCCGTTACCGGCTGGCCACCGTCCGATTGGGTGCAAATGGGTTTTCAAACTCAAGTACACTTCCGATGGTACCCTGGAGAGATACAAAGCTCGCTTGGTCGCCAAAGGGTTCACCCAACGTGAAGGCATCGATTATACTGAGACCTTTGCTCCTGTTGCTAAACTTATCACTGTCCGTTGTCTCCTCACTGTTGCCTCTGTTCATAATTGGCCGCTTCATCAGATGGACGTACACAACGCTTTCCTTCATGGCGACCTCCATGAAGAGGTCTACATGCTTCCACCGCCAGGTTATCAACGACAGGGGGAGCACACTGTGTGTCGTCTCCACAAATCCTTATATGGTCTTAAACAGGCATCTCGAAGCTGGTTTCGTAAGTTTTCCTCTGCTATACAAAATATTGGTTTTTCTCAATCCAGAGCAGATTATTCTATGTTTACACACAAACATGGTAAATCCTTCACTATTATATTGTTGTACGTTGATGATATGATAATCACTGGAAATGATGATGATGCCATACGAGACCTTAAACACTTCCTTGGCACTTGTTTCAAAATCAAAGATCTTGGACCTTTAAAGTATTTTCTTGGAGTTGAAATTGCACGGTCCAAATCTGGGATTTCTTTTTGTCAACGGAAGTATGCACTGGATATTTTGGAAGATGCAGGTTTACTTGGTGCAAAGCCTACAAAAATTCCTATGGAAGCCAATGTTGCACTCATGCCTACAGGGAGTGACCCTCTCAAGGATCCTACTCGCTATCGCAGACTTGTTGGCAGGTTAATATATCTTACAATAACAAGACCTGAAATCACATATGCGGTGAATACTCTAAGTCAGTTTATGCATGAACCCCAAATGCATCATTTTGAGACAGCACGTCGGCTCCTCCACTACCTCAAAGGAGCTCCTGGCCAAGGGTTATTATTCCCTTCACACGGGCCCCTCCACTTGACAGCTTACTGTGACGCGGATTGGGCACGATGTCCTTTTACAAGGCGCTCAGTTACTGGATACTGTATTTTCCTTGGCAAGTCACTCATATCATGGAAAAGCAAGAAGCAAGTCACTGTCTCAAGGTCATCTGCAGAAGCTGAGTACCGCTCTATGGCAGCCACCACTTGTGAACTCACTTGGTTGCGATATCTCTTACGAGACTTACAAGTGGAACACAACCAGCCAGCCACCTTACTCTGTGACAACAAAGCAGCCCTCTACATTGCAGCCAACCCAGTGTATCATGAACGGACCAAGCACATTGAATTGGATTGTCATACCGTTCGTGAGAGAATTCAAAACGGGGAGATCAAGACAGTTCATGTGCAAACCAAACATCAAGTTGCAGATATTTTCACTAAGCCGTTACCTGCCCCCTTGTTCCAATCCCATCTTGGCAAGTTGGGTGTAATTGATATTCACACTCCAACTTGAGGGGGAGTGTTAAAGGGAAGAAATTGGTCAACTATTGTGATTGCCTCAATCTTAGTAATTAGCTAAGTTTACGGTCATTACACCTATTGTGATTTACATACTTAGAATAGATTCCATGCTTACTTAGAATAGAACTTTCATTCTGTATAAATCTTGTACATTGCGATCTCAAGGAATCAATACAATACATACAGCTTTCTACATTCTTTCAGCGTCATCGTGGCAATACCACAGAGGAAGCTTCTAGAGCAAGCAGTCGTCGCCCTTCAGGTAGTTGATGAAGGCTCGGGTCTTCTCCTTTAGGTCAACGTACAAAGGCTGCGTGAATATGAAATCGCCTTTCTTTTGCCGGAAATGCTTCTTCTCGCTAACGGAGTCGAGCGCGAGATTCTCTAATGGCAGCGCAGGAGTATCGTCTCAGCGAAGCAAGTCGATGACGAGTCCAATGTTCATAAGATGTTCTGGGTCTGGGTTCTTACACAGAGAGAGAGAGAGAGAGAGAGAGAGTGTGTGTGTGTGTTTTTAATATAATTTAAACAATAAAATAATTTTTTATTAATTTTTGGTCCACATGGAAGTCCAAGTCATCAAAAAAAAGGGTCTCACTTTTGACACGTCAGCATTTAACAGACTGACTAACAGTTTGTCTAACGGAGGGGACAAATTGTAGGTTTTCCGCGACATTGAATATGTACTCATACATGTTCCCAAAATCAGGTATGCACTCATAAATGACTCTATAGATTGGGGGGTTTACTGTAGTTAACCCTTTTTTTTTTCTTTTTTTTTTTGGTACTTCTTCAAAATAACGCTTGCTAGATCCACCTTTGATTTCTTCTAATAATCAAAACAAATACCCTAGTTTTACCCGATTGCGATTAGTACCATAATATTTTATTGTTATATTCATCATTGTTGTCCTTGCATAGGTCTTGAATCTTATTCATCGCCAAACCCAACATGGCTCTAGTGTCCTGCCTTGATGCTTTTGAAGACAAATATTCTCCTCGTAGATTATCTATAAGTAATATGAGGTTAATTACATATCCTTAAACGCACAACTACAAGGAACTCTTTTGCATTGCATTTTAGACATGAAGTTCCTTTGTGCCACCTTAGCTCTCTTCTCTCTTCTTTTGGTAAGCATTTGTATCCTCGTTTTCCTCTTGTTGCTTATAATCTCTGATAAATTTCAAGTCAACAACTTGATGATGACAAAACGGCACTAAAATCTTATAATATTCCACGAAAATGTTCTCTTATTAGAAAATCTTATATATTATATTGTTAACTAAGTTATCAATTTTAACTATTTACTTTGTTTAGAAGTATGGTCGAAATTAACAATCTGATAACTTAACAATACCTGCAATATGATTTGAAACGTACGCCTTGGAAATTTCGGTAAAGTTGACGTTTGTTGCTTTTCTGTCTTGTGGAGCAGTTTGCTAAAACTATAGAATCAAGAGGAGGTGCAGGAATTGACTGGGAATATATCAGGAAAGAGCAACCCCTTATGCCAGGCCTCCTTGCTGAACATTCTGATTCAACACCAAAAAAAGAAGCCAACTGCCATGAAAATACAGAAAAACCTGTCGTTGAGACTACGGAATTTGAATCCAGACCGTTTATCTCAGCTTACAATGATGAAGAAGGCAAAGCAGAGTTCTCTGCCAAAGACTCTGAGCCAAAGTCCCAGGCTTACCCTGACAAGCAGCCACTTGAGTCAAAAGAAAATAAGCAGTCATTTGATGAAGACTTTGATCCAAGGAAATATATATTTCTTTTTACAATGACTAATAGAACATCAAGTGTGAGTTGGTGCTATTTAATAATAAAATAAGCTTGTACTAAGCTCTAGTGTTAGAGAGCATTTACCCCCGAATCTAAAGGTGGAGTTCAAACCTTGGCCCCTTTGTTCTATGTAACAAAAATAAATAAATTGGCTCTGAAGAAGCCTATGTTTTATGAACGTAAGATATATACGGTTTGGTGTTTATGTGTCTAAGCTCGGTCAGGAATGTAATTTGGAATCCTGAGTTAATAAATAGCTTTGGCTATGAATGTGATTTTGGTTACTTTTTGTAGCCAATTAGTCTTTGAGAAATACAAACTTGGCCAATAGATCTTACAACAGTGGTGGTGGATTCTCCTTTCCCTTCATGGCATTCAGGATCGAACTCTAGTGGGGTTTCTTTTCTCCAATGTAATTATAAAAAATAAAAAAACAAACAAACAAACTTGATTTTTATTAAGGGTTTTGTTTGGATTTTTATTAAGGGTTTTGTTTGGATGCTCCATCTATGAAAATTACAAATACAACTTGTTCTCGAAAGGGGATTTTAAGTCAAAAATGAAAAGTTAACTCATCTTCACAAATGTGATATTTCGATGTCTCAAAAGTGATTTCTTTTCTGCCTCTTGCCTTGGTCTGAGAACGCCCACATGGTCCTGTAAAACACCAAACTCATCAAGCAACCCTTGAAGCTAAATAGCTTCATTAATAGCCTTTGATGCAACCATGTAGTCGAACAACAGTACAGAACAGAACAGGCCTAGTACAGTATATTGTACCACCACACTGACATCACACAAGCTTTTTCTTTTCTTTTTTAGCATCAAAACGATATTAGGAAAAAGGTAATGCGATCATTATGAAAAGAGAGGAATCAAATAGATAATTATAAGAGTAAATGTTTATAATCACTTGAGTTCCAATTGTCCGTGTTCGAAGGAATCAACAAAAAAAAAATTATTGAAGAATGAATCGAACTTAAGACTAAATACTATCTTAATTATTCGAAAAATAAGAGTAAATATGATGTTAATTACTTGAGTTACAGACTGTAATCACTTGAGCTACAAGGACATGTATACTGATACTGAACAGATAGGACTCAACTCAGATTGCTCACCAAGGTTTCTGATGCCTCACGCATAGAAATTCAGATCTCAAATTACTCACCAAGGTTTCTGTTGCTTCATGCATAGAAATTTTTTAAGTCGTTTCATATTCCATTATGGAATCTTTTTCTATTTTCAAAATTGTACTTTTTCATTGTAAACATAAGAATTTATAGCCTAATCAGACAGCTAATTGGCAGCCTTTTGTAAACCTGTTTGGTTGATTAATATTTCTTTTATGATAGTATTTTTTTCTTCAAGAATCAACAATCTGGTCATTAAAACTTCAGTTCCAGGAATTTCAGTGGGAAAATCAAAAGCTTCCAAAGAAGCTTGACCTTTTATATTATGTTCAAACACTGGCCCTGCATTAAAATTACTACATTGAAGTGGATGCTGGAATCCACACAAGATTAGCTGAAGCCCCTGGCTTAGTCCTAAGCACACTGAAAGATGCATGATTAGGACTCCATTAAGAGGTGTCCAAGTGACAAACAGGAACAGCTTCTACCCTATCTCCATCCTCACCGCCCAACAAAACCTTGAAAACCTTGTTCACACTTTTCTGGCTGTGGCAGTAGAAAACTGCGTAAGGGTAAGGCATGGTGTGGCAAGCCACCATCTTGGGAGCCAAAATCTCCTTGGGCTCTTCCAAAATAGTGTAGTTCTGGAAATTGGTAGTTGAATTTGTGAGATGGGTTGTGGCCACAACACTGAAAGGGGTGTCCAATCCGAAGACGCCACGTGTGAAGTCAAGCATGGATTCTAGGGATGTAGCACATGATTTGATCTCTCCCTTGATGGGTTCAATCTCACACGTAATTATCTAATTTTAGTAGAATTAGGATATTTTGTACATATTTCCTATTTATACCCACTCTGTATGTAGTATATATATTCCTCATTGAGAGAAAAATAAACATATCAGTTTAAACCTTAATTATTTTTGAGTTGGTATCAGAGTGGGTTTCGATCCGTCTCTACAACATCAAAACCCTAATCCTAAAAATACTTATTTCTGCTGCATCTAGCCTATACACCTAAGCATGTGTCGTCTTATGTCTCTTACTATCGTCATCGCCACCTAATCTTTTGCTGCCACTGCCATCTATCACTATGTCAGATATCACTGAATCTTCTTCTTCTACTCCTATTGTTATGGTTCATACCGAATCGTCCACCAACCTACCTATGGGATTCAAATTGAATGGATCCAACTATGAGGTATGGGCTTCGATGATCGAACTACATGTTACTACACAAGGCAAATTGGGTTACCTAACTAGTGACACTGATGCCTCTGATTCCAAAGACCCGAAATTTGGGAAGTGGAAAATTGTTGATGTTGTTGTGAAAAGTTGAATGTTGCGAACTATGGAACCCAGTTTGTTAAATATGTTTCATACTCTACCTACCGCTAAGGAAATTTAGGATGCTGTTAATCAGATGTTTTATGATGGCTCTGACATATCCCAGCTCTATGAACTGCGATGTCAGGCTACCTGTCTCAAGCAAAAGGGTCGTCCTGTCTCTACCTATTTTGCCGAACTTAAGGCAATCTGGCTTGAATTGGATAAGAGACGTCTGTTTCAGATGAAGTGTGCTGATGATATGAAGACTTTCCAGGATGCTGTTATGGCAGATCGTGTGTATGATTTTTTGGTTGGCCTTGACGATACTTATGACAAGGTATTTTTTATGATTCGTCGAGAGGCTCAACGTCAGATTACTATGCTTGGATCCGGCACCAAGATTGGGGAACCTACTGTTGCGTTTGCTTTCAAAAACACTGATTTGGTTTCTCGGCCTCTAGGGTCTGGCTCTTCTGCTATTTCACCTCGTCGCCTGACTTCTACAAAAAAAAACAAACAAACAAACAAACAAACAAACTGAAGTGTGATCATTGTGGTGAAAAAAACATACAATCGACACCTATTGAGCATTGCATGGGGTACCAGATTGGGAGAATGAGCGGAGGCGTTTAAAAAGGGAATAACTGGACAGTAAAGCTCATGTAGCTGTTGCCCCCACTTCTGTGGCTGACATCACCACTAGGCATGGCCCCCTTACTACTACTTATCCTCCGACTTTGACCACAGTCTCAAGCACTCCAACACCTTAGCCTCCAGGTAACTTTGGCAAGACTTTCCATGCCCATGATACCCGTGATACAGGTTGGATTATTGATTCAGGAACTACTGACCATATAACGTATAATTCTGCTTTATTCTCTACTACTCTTCCTCCTCATCATGATCATGTTCTGACTGCTAATAATGTCGCTGCTCCTATCACGGGGGCTGGTTCTATACTCTTGACACTTGCTTTACCATTGGACAAAGTATTATTGGTTCCATCTTTGTCTAATAATTTATTATTTGTTGCGCAAGTTACTGAGCAATTAAACTGCGTTGTACTTATGTATCCGTCTTTTGTCTTACTACAGGATATCCAGACTCGGGAGATCTTTGGTCGTGGTACTAAAAAAGGGGGGCTTTATTATGTGGATGATGTGGCAACTAGTCGGGTTCTTCGTGCTGGTAGCGCCGAAACTTCTCAACATCGCCGGGTTTGGTTGCTACATTGCTGATTTAGTCATGCCTCTTTTGGATATTTACGGCATTTATTTCCTGCATTATTTAGTGGTGTCAACGAGTTTGCTTTCCAATGTCAGACTTGTATTTTAGTTAAGAATCATCGAGTACCCTACCTTCCAAGTTGTAATAAACAGCTTATGCCATTTGATTTAGTTCATTCTGATGTTTGGGCACTCGTATGATGTGGTTATATAGGATGAAAAATAAAAGTGATGTGGTTGAAATTTTTCAACATTTATATCATATGATTCAGACTCAATTTATGCTTCCTATCAAGGTTTTTCGATCTGATAATGGTGGAGAGTTTGTTAATTCGGCGTTATTCCATTTTTTTCACACTAAGGGTGTAATCCATGAGACTACTTGCCCTCAAACACCACAACAAAATGGGGTTGCTGAACGTAAAAATGGGGAGATCCTTCCTACTGCCCGTGCTCTGCTGCTTGGTGCGTCAGTTCGAAAGCAGTTCTAGATGGATGCTGTTACCTATGCAGTTTATCTCTTGAATCGTCTACCTTCATGAGTTTTGGATTTCCAAACTCCTATGCAAGTACTGACCCATCATCTCTCTGTCTCTTCTATGTTGACTTTGTCTCCAAAGGTATTTGGTTGTGTCGTCTATGTTCACCTTCATCATAATCAGATGAGTAAGCTGGATCCCTGTGCTCTCCGTTGTGTCTTTCTGGGTTTCTCTCCTCATCATAAAGGCTACCGATGCTATCATCCTGCAACCCGACGTCTCTATGTCTCTATGGATGTTACCTTTATTGAGGATGAAATGTTCTTCTCTGATACACCCGAGCATGTCTTTTAGAGGGAGACTAATACTGAAGGAAATAACTGACTAGATTTACAAGGAGGAGTAGTATTGGATAGTTTGATACAAAGGGATGAACTGACCAAACCGGTTGAACCTGCTACACCCGTTGAACCTGTTATTTTAACTGATGTCATTGTTGTCATTGAACCGATTGCCTCCTATGAAGCTTCTCTAATAGTACCCGATCAAGCTCCCCTAGATAATCCTGAGGTAAGTTCTTCTATTCATACTGCTGATAATTCTTATGTTTTACCTCCTAGACGGAACCGTGGGATTCCACCTGATCGTTACTCACTAGAAGGCAAAGCAAGATATGCTATTGCCCATTATGTGTCTGATCACAGGTTATCTCCTGAGTGCAAAGCTTTTGTGGCCAGAATGAATAGTATTAAAATTTCAACCCGTGTTGAGAAGGCATTTAATGATCCAAAGTGGGCTGAAACCATGAATATTAAAATGGAGGCGCTGCATAAAAATAATACATGGGATATTGTTGATCTACCAAAGGGAATGAAACCTGTAGGATGCAGATGAGTGTTTACAGTTAAATATAATGCAGATGGTACTATGGAGAGGTACAAGGAAAGATTAGTAGCTAAAGGGTTCACTCAGACATATGGAGTTGATTATCATAATACTTTTGCACCTGTAGTTAAGATGAATACTGTCAGAGTTTTGTTGTCCTTAGCAGTAAACTTGGATTGGACCTTCAGGCAATTTGATGTAAAAAAATACATTCTTATATGGTGAACTAGAAGAAGAAGTGTACATGAGTCTTCCACCAGGGTATAGTGTTACCAGTGACACGGGGAACGTGTGCAAATTAAAAAAGGTGTTATATGAGTTAAAACAGTCTCCTTGGGCATGGTTTGGCAGATTTACTACAGTTATGAAGAAGTTTGGTTACCAACAGGCCAATACTGATCATACTTTATTCATTAAACATAGGGCTAATAAGGTGACTTTGTTGATTATTTATGTTGATGATATGATTGTGACTGGTGATGATACTACAGAAATCGAGGAACTGCAGAAGCGTTTAGCATCTGAATTTGAGATGAAAGATTTTGGCAGTCTGAAACATTTTCTAGGGGTGGAAGTCACTCGATCTAAACATGGTTTATTTCTTTCACAAAGGAAGTATGTCATGGACCTGTTAGCAGATACTGGAATGCTTGACTGTAAACCACCTGATACACCTATTGTTGATAATCATAAACTTGGTGTTTATGTGGATTAGGTCCCAACTAACAAAGAAAGATACCAAAGGTTGGTTGGGAGATTGATTTATTTATCATTGACATGCCCTGATATTATCTAAGCAGTAAGCGTCGCTAGCCAATTTATGCATTCCCCTAATGAGGATCATATGGCTGCTGTGATGCATATTCTGAGTTACTTAAAGTCTGCTATTGGGAGAGGTTTATTATTTAAGAAAAATGGCCACTTTGATCTAGAAGGTTACACTAACGTAGATTATGCAGGAAATATTACAGATGGCTTATTATCACAAAACGTCCCTAAGGTTTACAAAACTATCATATTGCATCCTTAATATTTTTTTTTTGTCATTCGTGGTCCTCAAGGTTAATATGTGTGATCACAAATGGTCCCTTCTGTTAGCTTCCGTCAAAAACTCCGTTAGTTTGCTGACATGACATATATATATATCACAAAACATCTATGAGGTTCACCCATCTATCACAAATGGTCCCTACGAAAATTTTAAATTTTAAATATTTAAAATTCATAAAATTTTGGTTTTCTTTTTAAAATTTTATGAATTTTAAATTATTTAAAAATACATATTATATTTTAAATACATGTGACACTATGTTATTGTAGATGTGGGTTCCATATATATGTCACATCAACAAACTAATAGAGTTTTTTTTTTAAATAATGTAAAATTCATAAAATTTAAAATGAAAAAAAGAGAAGGGTTTAGGGTTCATAAATGGTCCTCCAAATTAAAATCCTTCTATAAATGATTTTTTCATTTATAAATAATTTTAAAAAGAAAACTAAAATTTTATGAATTTTAAATGAAAAAATTAAAAAAATTCGTATGAACCATTTATGATAAATGTGTGAACCTCAGGGATGTTTTGTGACACATATATATATATATATATGTCACGTCAACAAACTAACAGAGTTTTTGACGAAACCTAACGGCATGGACTATTTGTGATCACACATACTAACCTTGAGGACCACAAGTGACGCAAAAAAACATTAAGGATGCAATCTGATAATTTCGTAAACCTTAGGGACATTTTGTAATAATAAGCCTATTATAGATAGACGTTCTACATCAAGTTACTTCACATTTGTTAGTGG